CATTTTCTGTATCAATGGCAATAAATAACTATTTCAGTTATACCTATTCCTATGTTTTCACGTGTTGAACAACATTTGCATTCCAAAAGAAAATCCTACATGTTTGTGTTACACGTTGGGCTGTAAGTCACACCTCCATTATAAGGTTAACAATTTCTCAGCCCATAACATTTTCAGGACCTTAGAAGCTCAGTGTTTAGAATCTGCAGTTTTCTGGGGAAAGAACTGAATGAAGATGACGTGGATGCTGTGGTGAGACAAGCCATGTTTGAGAACATGAAACGTGACCCACGAGCAAATTATGAAGATAAAAAACTTGAAACTGGAACAAGAAATGATGGAGGATTCCTCCAAAAAGGTGTTTATTGGTCTGTAGTAGAGATAGATAGATAGATAGATAGATAGATAGATAGATAGATAGATAGAACTCCCTGGCTGGCCTAGGAGAAATAATCTGTGTTTCCAGTGCATTTTTCCAGGTGATAATGACATTTGGGAGCATCAACCATTTTAGCTGACAGAGAACCTGAAGGGTTTCTAGTAATGTTTTAGGGCAAAATCTGACAATTTCACTTATTAAATAAATCTGACTTTCCTTCCTTTTAAGCCACACAACACAACCTGTTAAAGTATGGCAATAGATACGTTAGAAGTGAAAATTCTTAGTCATCTTGTGCCGTTGTTTTGTTGGGTTTTGTTTTATTTTGTTGAGTTTGTTGTTGAGTTATTTTGTGGGTGTAGGTTGTGTGGGTGTAGGTGTGTGAGAGAGAGACAGACAGAGACAGAGGGAGACAAAGAGTGAGTACGTGTGTGTTTCACAGTGTAGACCAAGCAACCGAGGTTGCTTAAATCCATAATCCTCCTGTCTGCCACACACTGCTCCCTGAGTGCCAGGGTTACAGACATGAAACACCACACACTGACTGCCTAGACAAAAGCAGTCTTATTTGCTATTTTTTCTAGGATATCGTACAAGTAAGTAAACTTACTGTATGTTTATGCTAAAGATTGAAGATAGAGTTTAAAGTGATTTTTTTTTTTTTTTTTGGTTTTGTTTTTTCGAGACAGGGTTTGTCTGTATTGCTTTGGAGCCTGCCCTGGAACTTGCTCTATAGACCAGGCTGGCCTCAAACTCACAGAGATCCCAGTGCTGGGATTAAAGGTGTGCACCACTAACGCCGGGCTTAGAGTAGTTTCTTAATGTCTTTATCTGATATGAATTCAATTAAGTAAACAGGCAATAATCTTGTTATGACCTCATTTCATGCCAGGAGATGTGGTTAAGAACAAACATTTCCCTCTTGATAACTCTTTTATCATTATTGTGATCATTAGCTTATATTTTAATATCTATGGATTTTTATATTTTTCAAACTCTTTTGTCTCTTCCCATCTCATTCCTCAGTGTCTTGCCTAAGGTAGCTTGCCATCTGGTCCAAATGCAAACAATGATGTCTAGGACAACTAAGGACCCCAAATGGCTATTTTTATTTTAACTGTGATCATTTCAAAATCTTATCCAGAAAAATCATAACATTAGCTGTTTCAACACTCTGTGTCACCTTGACTTGAGCACACACACACACCTCAGAAGGTTGTGTTTTAAATATATTGTGTTTGGAGTATAAGCGTTTCTTAGAATAATGATTGATATATTAGTGAAATGTATTTTTAAAATTCTAATATATTTTTTAACTTTTAAAGAGATTTTTTTTTCTTTCTAAAAATTGTGATTTGGTGGTCGTACCTAGTGATAACTATTGACTGTGCTGCTACTCTGAAGCCCCTTCTACTGCACATCCCTCTGAGATGAGAGGAGAGGGGAGCCAACCAAGGCCTGCAGAGAGTAGAAGGGGGTGGTGGACTTTGCCTCGGTAGCTGGACTTGCCTAAGTGCTGGCTGCTTCTCTCATTAGGCACCATCGGAGACTAGAAACATCACTTGACTGTGGAGCAGAATGAGAGGAACATGAAGAACTTTCCCTTAAAGTTCATCTGGGATATGAATGAGAAGTAGAATTTTAATTATGGTGCAAATTAATCATATAAAAATGTACTAACCAGAGGAGGCCATACTTTATTAAAATTAACGTATGCTTCTCATTCAATTATTAATTATTAAGCACAATCCATGAACAAAATGATTAATTTAGGTTGCTTGCCATAACATTAATTTTAAAGGCAGCTACTAATGTTGGTATCCTTCACAAAAAGAATGACAGAGAAAGCATAAAACATGGCTTATAGATGTCTTCAGGGAGTAGTCTATAATTCACATTACTTTCAATGTAATGAAGGATCAAGTAAACATTAAAAATCCATTTATTTTAATAATTAAACTTTAATTCATTGCCTTTGAAATTAATAGAACTGTTAAATGCACTGTATGAAGTAGAGATGTCATGTACAAACATGTATGCCTTTAAAAATATTATAAACTATCTCAGTGTGCAATAAAGTCATAAAAATCAAAGACTAAACATATGCTGGTTTAAGTGTTGATGCCTGTGATTTGGACCCCTACCTGGGGCCATGTTGCTGTTGGTTCCATGCCAAAGTAAATGACCTGCACTGCCAATCAGGACACTGGCTGCTGACAAGCCCTAGCTGCTGACAAGGACCGTGTCTGAGTCTATGGTGCAATCACAGCTGGAGTCTCTTGATGGGTGAGAGGTGAGAGGCAAAGGATGGTATCCCCGGTGCCCACATAACCTTCTGACTGCCAGGGGGTCTAGCTCTCCCACCCACACCGCCACCAGCAGGGACAGCTCTGCTGTGCTGCCCTGAGGAGGTGCAGGTCCTGCTCTCCAGAGTGGTGCAGCCTGTGAGGGGCAGGGAAACTCTGTGCAGCCCTATTCTCACTGCTTCTGATGGTAAGAGGAGGCCACGGACATCGACACTGATGGCCGCTGTGGCAGGGCCATGGAACCAGACACAGCCCCTGGAAGCAGTTTAGGCCCAGAGGACACCATGGCCCTGGGCAGCAGCACAGGCTACTCAGATCTACATGGCTCCAGCAAAGACTGAACGCTTGGACATCAATCTGGCCCTACGTGGCATCCTAGGCCTCTGACATCTGTGTGGCCCTTAGTGGCTCTACAGGCTACGCACATGGCAGAGCAGACACAGCACCTCAGCTGGGCTGCACACTAGAGCTCACTGTATTGGCAGGGGACAGACGAACCTGGCCTGTGAACAGCGGAGCGGGACAGCTGCACCCTCCCTCTATGCCATGGGATGGCAAGGCTAAGGGAAATGTGCCCTTACCTCCCACCCCTTGCCACCTGCAACAGGCAGGATATCCAACCGCCAGGGCACGAGAATCAGTAGAACCAGGCAGAAGTAAGGGGCGGGGGAAATGAATGGGATCAGGGTGCATGCTGTGAAATCCACAAAGGATCAATAAAAAGGTAAATACAGCAGATGCTGGATTAACTACAGGGTATTGGGGTGAAAAAAATTACTCTGCAGGACACTGAAGCCAAATAGAGCCAATATTCTGTTTCTGATCTATGAGAGAGGGAAGATGCTCATTATGAAGTCTATGCAAATGAATATAAGCTCTTAATTTCTACATTAAATGCACATGGTTACAAAATGCAAACAATTACAAAGAAGATTCTCCCCCAGTTGTTTTGTATTAGTAAACTTAAAAGAAAAACCGGGTTTGTATGAAGCAAACAACTGTAGACTCTCTAAGAAAAACCTGGAGTTTATATTGACTTCGAATAATGAGGTAATGTCAAACATAAAGAAATACATGCTGAAAAATAGAACTCGATGTTTGGATTTAACCTCTTCCAGATGAGGTTAAGCTGAGCCAAGTGTGGCAAATGAATTACATATACTGCTATGACATCAGATTTTGGGGGGGGGGGGAAGCAGGCCTAGGGGACCGGAAAGGGTACGCCTGGGGCACAGGCTAGTAGAGACTCATGAAGAAGCTGCAGCTTGGATTCATGAAATCAAGGGATTAGGAGAGCATTCAGACGCCCTTACTTAAGGGGAAGCCCCGCTGTTCTATCCTTCTCAGAAAACCACCCCCATTCTGCTTGCTGCCCCTCTGAAGGGAACAGCCGCTCGGCTCCTCCGTGTGTCTCCTCTCGGATTTCCAGAAAACTGCTGTGTAGAAAACAAGCCAGAATGTGTACCTGGATTGTCTTGACGCTGTCGGGACCTGAGCCCTGGGTGCATTTCCTGCATTATTCATGGCCTGCTGTAGCTGCAGAATGGGCTAGGCCCCTGTGGGGGACTGTGACCAAGGCCTTACAGCGAAGAAGGGGTTGCACCAGGATGGATTCCTAACCTCTCAACTCCTTCCCATCCACTGGCACTTGACTGATCAAACTAAATGCATGTGTTGTTGTTAGACAAACTGAAGAGGCCAGAGAGAAGGTGGAATGCTGTGGAACTAGCTGAGCAAAGCGCAGCTGATGAAAGATCATCAGTTCAATCTACTATTTCAATTATAACAGAATTAGGATATTTACTGGAGCTGGCCTAAATCTCAACAAAAACACAGTCCAGTCCATACTGTCCATCCGAATCATCTTAGTTTTGAAGATTTAAAAATCCATTTGATGAAACAAGTGACAGCTTCCCAGAAGCGGTTAGCCTGGTGGAGGCAGATGGGAGACAGGCACGGAGGAGGAAACCGCTGCGCGTGCCTCTACGGGCAACCGGGCAACCGTCAGGCCTCCCCGAATGCCCCTGCACTCTGCGTGGCAGCCAGGTGAGGCTCATCCACTCTAGCGATGACAGTCTCCACTTGTACCAACGTAGCACTGGGGTCCCCAGGGGCTAAGTAAGCATCGGAGGCTCTTCTGCTCTGACCCAGAACACTGCAACCTTGAGAAGGGCCCTGAGCTGCAAGCTCACATTGCGCTCCCCGGAGCAAAGTAAACATTGCTCTCTTGCACTGACCCGGACACTGCAACCTTGGAAAGCGCTAGGAGCAGCAAGTTCACATTGCGATACCGGGGGCAAAGTAAACACTGGAAGCTCTTCACTGCTGACTCGGGAGACCGTGTAACCTTCTGGGGGATCTGAGCGGCTCACTCTTAATCACAGAGGTCCCGGTGACATGAGATCTCACTTCTTGAACAAAAGCCCTGCTAAGATTCCTCACAAGACCATCATCTGTGCCACCCTGCAGTTTTTGATTGGCACGACTCTCATCGTGACGGGCTGCCTTCTGCTGACCGGCTACATGAAGCACGTGGGGACCAGCCGGGCCATCGCCGTCCTGATTGTGGGCATCTTGGTCTTTGTGCCAGGGTGTTACCATCTGGTCATCATCTATAGAACCTGCAGAGGCTGCCAGGACTACTCCTACAGTGACCTTCCGGACTGTGAGGACTAGACCACAACAGCAAGAAAGGGGGCCGGCTGCTGGTGGGACTGAACAAAGCCGCGAGGCACTGGCAGGTGGAAAATCACAGCTGCAATTTAAAAATGCTGCAACTTTATAAACGATAAATAAAATTATGACTATAGTTTACAAGTACATTCCAAAAAGTAGCTTGAACTTAGAGCTAGCCAAAGGTCTAACTATGTGTATTTTTGATCCCCTGGCCCTCCTGAAAACACGTTAAAATGTCTACATGGATATTTATAGTCAGAGAACAGCATGAAAACCTACACCTGTGTGGCACTGTTGGGCCACCACAGCTCTATGTAGAACTGAACGTAAGTTTAATATTCCCAATTGACAGTCTTACTACGTGGCAACTGGAAAAGGCTGATATAAATTTTGTTCATATTATTTTTAAATTTACAATCCTCCACTTGTCACTAACTTTGTAGTCTATGTACGATTTAGTAAAAGCAAATCTTATTTGGAAAAAAAAAAATACTATTGCTTTGTTGGGCCAAACTTTTAGGGCCAAACTTACTTAAAGTCAAGATGCAAGCTTTCTTGGCCAAGTAGCCTTGGAAAGATTACCGTAGCACAGTAAAACAAGGCAGTTTGGAGGTATCGTTCTTCTTGTGTGAGATTCCAGTAAGCAAATTGTTTTAGAGCAGTGTGCTGAGACAGGAATAGTCTGAGAAAGGTTAATTCTTCTCTGGAGAGTAAGCTGCTTTCTCCCCTCACTCCTTGCTACCCGTGGCAGGCGGGAGACCAGGCCCAGGGGTAATGAGATTGGGAGAGCTGGCCCTGCCCCTCACAGGCTGCAGCACACCTGGCAAATCGCTAGAGCTAGCCCCGGAGGTGAGGATGAAGGTGAGCCAGGCCTAAGGGTGTAAGAGTCCAGGAACTGGCCCTGCTGTCCAGTGCACCGGGTGAGCTAGCCAGAGCAGCGCTGGAGAGCTCACCTTGGTGGTGAGAACGAGGAGAAGCTGGCAGGCTGACCAATCCAAGCCCAGGACTGGTGCTGAGTTGGCCCACCCCAACATTCACCTATGTATGCATCCGCCTGTAGCATGTAAAAGGCCAGACCTGCAGATCCAAAACTACAGGATCTCCATGACACAAAGCAACAATATGATATCCAAGAGGAGGCCCGGTGTGTTGTGTGATAGCTCATTTGTGTTCTAACAAATGAATCATATCTGGTGACCAGAGGGTGGAACTAGCCCTTAGATAGCCATAGAAGCTGGGCAGTGGTGGCACACATCTTTAATCCCAGCACAGGAGAAGGTAAGAAGGGGTGTCAACGGGATCTCAGCTGTTTGGACTGAGGAATGAGAGAGGAAAGAAGCAATTGGTGACTGCTCCCAGTTCTCTGATATTCCAGGGTTTACCCCCAATATCTGACTCCCGGTTTTATTGACACCATTCAACAGGATCACACTTCAGCCGTGAGGGCCCAGTATTCAGGGTGTAGCAGAAGCCAGAGGCCTCAAACCAGACCAATGACTCATTGCAATGAACACTTACAAGTAAAGAAGTATGGGCTAAAGAGTAAACTATGAGAGTCACCGTGTCACACACAGTTTAATAAGAAGAAAGAGGCTTCCGCATTTATTCCATTTCCAGTAATTGATGCAAAACTTCCTGTCCTGGGAGTTCTCATTAAGTGCAGGATCAGATAGATGAAGGGGAAAGTGATGGACATTGTTTGAGAACAATCAGGTTCTGCTAAATTAACAAAGATAATACAGTGTATAATCTGTGCTTTTGTGGTAATGATAATCCCCTCTTAAAAACCACAGAAGATACAGAAGCCTACGGGAAAAGTGAGCATTAAAAAGACCAACATGACTTCAACATGAGTCACTAAAATTATAAGGGACTGGGGTATGTAAAGATAATGTCTTTTGGATATAAAAGACTATTAAATGTATGGAGCTTTAATGGAATATACCTTACATAAATGGACAAGGACAGAAATTATATGGTTACCTCACTAGATTCAGAAAAAGCTATTTAAAAATCCAGCTTCCCTTCACAAAGAAACTAGAAATAGAGGAAACGTTAAACACAGCAAGCCTACATTTACAATGTGATAAATAGCTGAAATACTTCCTACAATCAGGAACAGGACACGGTGTCCATTTTCTCACTACGGTGTTTGAAGCTTTAGGTAGACCAGGAAGGGAAGGAATGGAAATAAAAGGGATCCAAATAGGAAAAAAATACCCAAATATCCTTTTCAAGAGATGATGCCCTCTTGATTTCAATCACAAACAGGCAGAGAAAGAAATTAGAAAAATAATTCCATTCAAAATTGCCTCACCTCGAGGAAAAATAAAAAATCCAAGGACTAAGGATAAGCCTAAGCAACTGCTCATTTGCCTTCTGTTTTTGTGTGAGCAAAATGGGTAACAGCTCCTTATGAGAGCATACACTTCCAAGTCACAGTTCATCATTGAAAGAGCAGGGCAGGGAGTCACTAGGAACTGAAGCAGAAATCATGGAGAAATTTCAATTCCTGGCACACTCTCTGGCTCATGCTCAGCTACTTTTCTAATACCTGTTTAGAGATGGTACCACATGCAGTGAGCTGGGCCCTCCTGCATCAACCATTCATCAAGACAGTCTCTTGTAGACATGGCCACAGTGGTCTGATGGAGACAACCCTTCAGTTAAGTTTCTGTCTTCTAGGTGGCTCTAGGTTGTGTCAAACTGGAAGGGAAAACTAACCAGTTGTCTTAGTTAGGATTTCTGTTGCTGTGATCAAACGCAACGTTGGGAAGACAGGGTTTAATCAACTTACACTTCCATATCAAAGTCATTACTGAGGGGAGTCAGGACCGGGACCTTGACCTAGGAGCTGATACAGAGCCACTGATGGATGCTGCTGGCTGGCTTGTTTTTCATGATTTGCTCAGACTATGTTATAACACTGAGGACCACCAGGCCAAGATGGGATACCACGTATGAATAACCAGTGAAGAAAATCTACCGTAGACTTGTCCACAAGTCAATCTGGTAGTGGCATTTTCTCAACTTAGAGTCCCTCTTCCGAAGTGACTCTAGTTTGTGTTCAATTGACATAAAAAATTAGCCAGCTCATCGGGAAGTGAGAGACCCCCTACAATAAAAACCTTAAAATGCTATAGAAAGAAGTTGAAGATACTAAAGGATGGAAAGTTATACCTCCTATGCTCATGTATATGAAAAATTAATATTATAAACATAGCTATACTACCAAAAGCAACCCACAGATTCAATGCAGTATCCCATCAGAACTCCAGAGTTACTCTTCACAAAAATTTTAGCTCTCATAAGGCTTTAACCGCTATCAGAAAATCTAAAGGAAATTAATGTTTGGAGTGGGGGGTACAGGGAGAGGGAGAGGGAAAGAATATCAGTCTTCTCCAGAGATAAACTCCCTGGTAGGCTAGCCAGTCCTAAGAAGTCAGTCCTAATCTTAAGGGGTCAGGCCTAAACACGCATGGCCAATACCAGATAATTTCACTGGGTAGTGTTAGTAAGCCTATATGTATGTATGAGAGAGAGAGGTGATCATGATTAATAAGAAGCCATAAATGTAAGGATTGGAGGACGCTGGAGAATTAGAGAGAGGGGAGTGAGGGAAACAATGATGATGTACATGTATGTAAATGTATAAACAAAATTTCAAAACATCTTAAGACTCACGTGATAGCATAAAAGACCCTAGTTAGCAAACGTAACTCTGAGAAAAATGCTGGAATTGTCACCTTATCTAATTTCAAGTTGTACACAACAGAGCAATCGTAATGAAAGTATCGGAGGCTGTGGGCATGGCTCAGTGTTAAGAACACTTGTTGGTCCTTCAGAGGTCAGAGCTCACTCCCCAGCACTCACTCACGTCAGGCAGTTCATAACTGCCTGTAACTCCAGCTCCAGGGAATCCAATGCCCTCTTTTGGCCTCCTCCGGCACCACACACATGTTCATATGCACATATACAAACACACGTAGAAACACAACAAATAAATAAGACCTTTAAAAAAACCAAACAGCGTGACACTGGTATAAAAACAGACACAAACCAATGGAATGAAATACAAGAACCAGAAATAATTTCAAGTAGTTATGGACACCTGACTTTTGAAAAATATCCCAAAAATGTTCATTAGAGAAAAGGCAATCTCTTCATCAAACATTGCTAGCAAAACTGAATATTCATATATAGAAGAATGAAACTCGTTCTCTAGATCTTACCCCATCTTAAAATCAAGTCCAATTCACCAAAGGCCTTAATGGAAATCCTGAAGATCTAAAAGTGATATGGGAAAAAAGGAAAGAAAATACTTCAAGATATTGGCATAGGCAAATGTTTTCTGAATAGGACTTCAGCTGCTCAGGAAGCAGCACCTGTAATAGGTGGGACCTTGTGAGACTTAAAAGGTTCCTTACAGCAAAGAAAAAAAAAATGAGTGAAGGGCTAGCCACCCATCACTCTAGCTCTAGGACATCTTATACCTCTGTCTTCCATAGGCACCAACACACATCACACACACACACACACACACACACACACACACACACACAGAGAGAGAGAGAGAGAGAGAGAGAGAGAGAGAGAGAGAGAGAGAGATACACAAGAGTAGACATAAGATAAAAGTAAATTTTAAAGGATGACACACAACTGGCCAATGGAATTTTTAAAAACATTCTGTCTCTTTGGCCATGAGAAAGTTGCAAATTAAAAGTATACTGAGAGCCCACCTCTCTGCGTTCAGAATGGCAGGCACCAGAAAAATAAGTAACAACAAATGCTGGCGACAACATGGACAAACGGGAACCTTATGCACTACCATTGGGAATTTAAAATGGCCCAACCACCATGGAAATCAGTATTGTGGCTTCAGAGAGAGGGAGAAGAAAGAAACCCTGAAAATGATCTATCAAATGGCCAGCTATACTACCTGTTTGCTCGCTTGTTTTGTTTTATGGTGACACACACCTTTAATTCCAGCACTTTGTAGGCGAAAGCCAGTAGATCTCTGTGAGTTGAAGA